TCGTCGATGCTGACCGGCACCAATCTAGTGTATGGTGATATCCCCCGGGGTCCACGCTCGAGAAAAAGGGACTACGTGCCCGGGATACGTCACAGTGCCGCAGCCAAGCCCGGCGACGTGCTGGCCGAGGCCGCCGCCCGTGAAGCCATCATTGCCCAGATTCAGATCTGCCCAAAGACCTCCCACCAGGTCATTGGACAATGGCCCAGATTGAGCAGACATGTATACACTACTTCCCGGCAGGCCCCTCCGGTGCAGTAACGATGATCACCGCTCAAGACGAACCGAATTGCCGCGGTGCCAGCTGCATGTCGTAGAACCCGACGGGGCACTGGACGGGGAAACGGGCGGCCGAAGGAACAAAACAAACATTCCATCGTCCGCCCACCAACCGCCGGGCTGACGGGGCGGACCCCTGCATACAGCCTTCCACGACGACGTCGACAACGCAACTGCTCTCCAGGGAGTTGCGTGGGTCCAGAAACTTCCGCAGTGCTGAGGCCGCGGGTCAAGCCGTGGTTGTATCTAGAATACAAGGCTAGCTTCTTTGCATCCGCCTCTTGTTGTCGGTGTAGCAGTCGATATCCGCCTGTGTCGAGAACTCGGCCATGCCCACCGTAGGGGCCTCGGTCTGTCTGCAAGAAGCAGGATGCAAACGGATTGGCAAGTGGGCATGGCATTGCGGATCGCCACGAGTCTGTGACGAGGATTGGATTCATCCTCGCGATGAGTGGAGAAGCATACTCCGCTCTCTTGAACATCACGCTTGACTTTAAGAAGTGCCGCAACGCCCTCCTAACACCCAGTCGCGGCCCGTTTCGGCGCTGAAGTGGTCGGCTGTGTGCAGTTCTGACAAGCTGAGCTTCGCAAACAGGATGCGCAGACGTCATGGCCTGAATGCGCACGACTCATGTGATATCCTTTCCTACCCATGGGGCATGCAACAGGCTACCTGCACACAAGCCCGCACCGCGAATGGTTCGAATAGCAGACAAGCAAGACTGTCAACGGGGAACTTGGCGTCATGGACTTCGGCCAACACTTGCCATTGTCATCCCGCGTTTGGCATGCCCGGTACCTACAGGATCATAACCGCCCTGCCGCTGAGTCCAAAGGTTGAAAATGCCTTAAACTTCTTCTAGAAGCATGGAAGGCTGACTGAATGGAAAGATACCGGGCGAGCTGGCCTCACTTTCCTGGCTTATTGCAGGATATTAATGCTCAAAGATCATCTTCGCAGCAGCTTTCATGACCATGGCCTCCACGAGCTATCCCCCTGATCCGGATTATCGTGATGTTCCCATATCTTATCGTTGAACTACATAGTACCGGAACTTCGGGCGGCACGTGGCTGAGAGTGCCCACACATCTTTCTTACATACCTACCTAGTAGGAGCGCCCGTATTTGATGCCGAGGCAAGGTGAAAGCTAAAAGATCGAGGTAGGGCAACAAGAAAATTGCCGTCAAAAACCTTTGGATGCCTTCAGATGCTGCACTCCGATTCGTTCAGATCGAGGACTCGGAGACGGCCACCACACCTTTCGACAGGCCATCAACAAACACGCCAAGCACAGTAGTTGTTTCGACGGTTCACGAAAGGCATTCTCCTCTGGCTGGACGGCTCAGGATGGTTGAGACAGTTGGATCATGAGATCGTATGACGAAGACAGTCAGGCAAGGGTCGTCTCAAGGAAAACACCATCTCGAACGCGATGTCACGATGCGGTACTGGCAGGCCGGTCGGCGGCGAGGAAATGCAGTTGTTCGGGATTCGCCAAGATTGGCCGTTTGGTGGGAAGGTGTCGCGTGGCTCACCGCCTGCTACGTCCTTATCTTTCCTACCCAAGTCGCCTGATATGTGGCAGTACTCTGGCTCCCGATTTTCGGCGTGAAAGCGTCAGCCGATCGGACCAGTCTGTGTGGTGGTACTTGAAAGTGCGCTTGATCAACAGGACGAGGTCAGGGCACCAAGAAACCGTGTAAGAACAGTCGTGGTGTCAAAAATGCCATGTTGGATTTGATGGAGATCTGCCAAGCGGTTGCGACCGTGGAGAGAAGAGACCTGAGGATTGCTCTGGCGACAAAGCGCGGCAATGTCAGCTTCGGTCAAGCTTCGGATGAACAGTCCCGAGCCCGTCCATTAGCTAGAATACTGGAACAGCGGCAGCTTAAGATTCGCAGCATATGCATCTCCAGCAATACGCCCCGAACCCCGAGAAAGGAGCGCGGCGAGGATCGCTAGAGAAAAAGATTTCAAGACAGATTCGTTTGCTCCAAGTCCCTCGTTAACGTGGAGGCGGGAGAGTCAGCCCCGCCAAAAAAGGTCGAATTCGGTTTCGTTTGGAGGAGTAATTGTTCTCTTGTCCACGACCGTTCGGTTGCGGCACGGGCCAAGAAAAACGGATTTCGACCCCTACAAAATGCTTTCTCTAACACACCTCGCGGATCGCTCGTAGTCTCCGAGAGGCTGGGGCATCACTACCTTCTCAAGAGTGAGCTTTGGTACGTATAGAACATCTCGCAGCAGGGCCCGGTTGAAAGTTTGATTCAACGGCACAAGCCTTGGCAGAGCAAGGCAGAAACATGTATTTTGCAAGCCTCGAGGTGCTCAAAGCGAACTGTATCGAGTCAGTCTGTTTCGGTTGAATGTTTCTCGAGGCGGACCACCGGCATCTTCTTCCAGGGTTGGCGAATTCAGACTTCAGATGGAGATGCGCCAGATGTACCCGCAAACCAAGTGGCACGAGTGCAGATACCTCGACGACAAGCCCAAGGGACGGTGCTGCCACCGTGCAGGCAGTAAACGGAAAGACGTACCGGCCACAGCGACAGCGACTGGGGACCGGTTCTTTGGTACGAGTCGAGTTCCTCCAATGACTATTGATAGAAGCGGTCGGCGGTGCCGTGCTGCAGGTCAGTACATCCAAGTGCGTCTGTGGTAGGAGTGTAGAGTTCAAGGGTCCAGCCAACACGCTAGTGAGCTGAGGATAGACGTTGGGGGAGTACCTACACAGGATCCGTCCTGCAGGTGTGATGCTCAGGTCCCTGCTTAGAAATTCCAAAGGCGGAGGACCCTGCGGTGAGCTGCCTGCACGCTGTACAGCTCCTCCTACGTGGCGCGTCTTTCGCAGAAGTCCATGGTGGTTTTGGGCAGGTTCCCATGCAGTAGGATCGGTGGTGTTCATGAGCACGGTGTTGCTGGCTGCTCAAGACCCGACCTTGCATTGTTTGACTGACCAGATGGCGGGAAAAGCACCGGTGATGGTGCCACAAAAATAGGGAGGATGGTGACTTGGGCAAGTGCTCAAGTCAGGCTCTCGCCGGTTTGGGGGGTCTTGGAGGCAAGTTGTGGTGTCAGTCAGCGGCGATCTGACTGGTAGTGGGTAGTGGGGTTCAGATCATCCGAGACCCACCTTTTCTCTCCAACAGCCGGATTAATTGGTCCAGATCAGAGGGTCTGCACTCCGGGCGGGCCCCTCGCCTTCCCCCTCGTCCTTCGACGTTCCCCACCCGCCCGCTCTTTCTCGCCGGGCCACGGGCCCCGCATCAGGTGGATAACTGAGAGGTATCTTTGCTGCGTATCGGCCACCAGTCACGACTTTGCATGTTTCTTTGCCTCTCGGAGGGTTTTAGGCCAGACCAGTTACCCACTGTATCTGTAGTCTAGTCCTCGCCTCCGTTGGGCGTCGTCTTCTGCTTCCAGGCCCTCTCCGCCGCTGTGCCGCTTTCCAGCTTCAAAATGGTCTAGAGCTTAGCTAGAAAGGCAGGTAAGAAGAAGCTGGGAGCTTTATCCTGATAGGTTTCGTTGGTACTTTGTTTCTCAAGTCTTGGCCCAACGCAGCCGAGATACCGAAGGTCTTGTCAGTGTTCTAGGGCCAGTGGCCACCTTCCAGAGTCAGACCCCGTCGTCCCAAGGTACATACCAAGGATTGGGGGGCAGAGGCGAGTCTGGCATTGGCACCGTCGACCGTCAGAGTGACCCGTAAGGCCGTAGGTGTGGGTGGTGAGAGACGTGTATGGCGAGCCGGGATCTTTCGGTGCCCATCGATAAGGAGGGAGGGACCCTGTTCCGCCGACTGGGTGGGTGATGGGGGAGAGGGGAATGGCGGCCATGGAGGGGTGTGAGGGCCGTTTTGTGCATCCGGTCCAGAGCGTGTTTTAAGCTTCTGTTGCTGCTTCCCGTCCCCTTCGGTGCGGTGTGCGAGTGCGGTCGAGTTTTGCTAATGGCCGATTTTTCCCTTTTTTTGTTTCTCATCCTCCATCTTTTTTTTCTTCCTCCTCTGCTCCCATCCTCACCCTCACCTTCTCATTTTCGTCTCTCGTGCTTGTAGCCTTGTTCGTGCCCTCCCCCGGACTTCTGCTCGTGTGACCTGCCACACAGGAATACCAGGCCATGATATCTTGAGCTTTCGGTGTGCCATGTGCTCCGCCCCAACCCGTAAGGTCCCCTTCCTCCAGCCTTCTGAGGCTCCACACCCCGCTACCTGCACCGGCTGACCTCCATCATCGATAGCCGGCTCACACCCGTTCTCATAGGAGATCCCATAGAACCCCTGCCCACCCCTCCGCTCCTGCCCCCCTTCAGAGAGATAGAGAGCAGAGAGCGAGCATTCAAGACCGCATCCTCTCCCCGACTATTCGCGCTCTTATGCCTCAACCGCTTTCCTAGGGACTTGGTCTGTCTCTCGAGCTGTCTCGAAATTTACTCCCGCGTCTTTCCGACATACCGCTATGAAATAGTTAGTATCTTGCCACCAACTGTTTCGAGCGCTTTGCCCTCACAAGGGTTTCCGGAGTAGACCTTCGAGCTCAGCTTCATATTGCCCCGCGCTGCCACACCTGCAAAGAGAATACGAGAAAGGCTGCGCAACCTTGAAAGCCAAACGTCGGCCGTTGAGGTTACTGGTTTCCCTGTTGTAGTCCCGAAGCTCCTTTTCCCGCTTCAGGTCGGTCTTTTGCATATATTTTTTGCCCTAGAGGCCATTATCGAGCGTCCAACATGACCGACACTACCGAAATCACCGCCGGGCCTACTCCCATGGAAGTGGTCGACGAACAAGGCCCCGGTCTCTCGACGCCAGCCAGCAAGACAAAGGGCCGCCACCGTGTGCTCTGTGGCGTACAGCGAATGTCATCCTCACCTTCGCTGTCCAGGACCGGCCGCTCAAGATCACACAGCAACCCCCAACGCGGGCGTGGGAACGTTTCCTGCGTGAGCTTGGCAGGACCTTCGACCTCCGGAACATCTTTTAGTGGCGATTCTTACTTTCCCGCAGGCGCGACAGCATCTGGCTACGCCAGCGCCTCGAGCTCAGTCCCAGGAACGCCGTCGAGCGAAATCATCCAGTTTGTGGGCATTGACGGCCGTCTGGCTATCCGGCGAGTCGACAATGTCTTTCCTGCGTCGCAGTCACCGGTACCCCAGACCATTGGACTTCCGTCTGACCTAAGGACGACGAGCAAGATCCAGATCGCAAACCCGGCGGTTCCCAAACGCGGCTTCAACTTCTGGGAGAACATGCCTTACGAGATGCGTGTGCAAATCTTCTCCTACCTTTCACCCAAGGAGCTTGTACGAGCTTCGCGTGTCAGCAGGGTGTTCCACAAGATCTGCTTCGACGGGCAGTTGTGGACATCCTTCGATGCCACGGAATTCTACCAAATCATTCCTGCCGAATCACTCGCCAGAATCATCGTTGCTGCCGGTCCTTTCATCAAGGACCTGAACCTCAGAGGTTGCGTCCAGGTCGAACATTACAAACGGGCCGAGGTGGTTGTCAAGGCTTGCAAAAACTTGGTCAACGCTACGCTGGAGGGATGCCGCAATTTCCAACGCAACACGCTACACAGCCTGCTGAGGAGCAACGACAAACTCGCCCACCTGAACTTGACTGGATTGACAGCAGTAACCAACATGTCCTGCAAGATCATCGCCGAGTCGTGCCCGCAGCTGGAAATGTTCAACGTATCATGGTGCGTGCACATGGACGCACGAGGAATCAAGGCAGTACTCGTGGGGTGTCCCAGACTCAAGGATCTGCGGGCAGGAGAAGTTAGGGGTTTCGACAACCTCGATGTTGCCGAGACGATCTACGAGACGAATAACCTTGAAAGGCTGGTCCTGAACGGCTGCGCCGAGCTTAACGACCGCGCGCTCAAGGTTATGGTCCACGGAGAGGACCCCGAGATCGACATCCTTACTGACCGTCCCGTCGTACCTCCGAGGAAATGGCGCCACCTCGACCTCAGCCGCTGCTCCCGCCTTACGACCCAGGGCGTGAAGGCGCTGGGATACAACGTTCCGGATCTTCAGGGGCTGCGACTGTCTGGTTGCACCGCACTTACAGACGCGGCGCTGGAGCCCATCTTCGCATCCACCCCACGTCTCACACACCTCGAGATGGAAGACTTGTCGGATCTCACCAACGGCCTTCTCTCTGAGCACTTGGCCAAGGCCCCCTGTGCGCCACGGCTAGAGCATCTGTCCATCAGCTACTGCGAAAACCTCGGCGACAGCGGCGTGCTCCCCGTCGTCAAGAACTGCGTCAACCTCCGAGCCATGGACCTCGACAACACCCGCATTAGCGATCTTGTCCTCGCCGAGGCGGCCTACATGGTCAACAACCGTTCCCAGAGCGCCGCGGCGAAGCCGAAACCACGAGTCGGTCTCCACATGGTTATCTACGACTGCCAAAACGTCACCTGGACCGGCATCCGCGAGGTCCTGTTCCGCAACGCCCAAACCAAGCCCTCCATGTCCGAGATCGGCAAGTTTACATATTCGGCAGAGGCCATCAGCCTCAAGTGCTTCTACAAGTTCCAAATGACGGTCGACGAGCACATGAAGCGCGTGCTCCGCGGCGACCTCGCCGCCGCCAACCGCCTCGAGCGCCGGTGGGCCGACTACATGCAGGCCAACGAGGAGGCAGGGACCACCGGGGCCGGCCACCGCCGTCGCAGGCGCAGGGCCCGCGAGGCGCAGATGTTGCACGCCGACGAGGAGGAGGGCGGCAACGGCGGTCGGCGGCGGGGCCGGACCGTCGGTTCCTGCGCCATCATGTGAGGCGGCAAGTGCTCATCTACGAGGGTCGCCCTAAGTGAAGTATTCGTGACGGCGGCCTTTGTAGCGTTCTCACGGGAGGCGATGCATCTTTTGCACTTTTTTTTCTTCTTCTCCACTTGTTGAGCCATGTCGGTATTCTTTCTATTCAGAGAGGCGTTTGGTGCACAACAGACATTTCCGTGGCTAGATTCGGGATGCATTGCCATTTCTCTCCGTGGTACGGATGAACTCGGCGTCTCGCATCAGGAAAGGCGTCACCTCATCCAGCCCTTCCTTCCGTGCTGTTTGCCTAGAAGCACGTCTTATTTTCTTCTTCCTCTTCTTCTCTCTATACGGTGTTCAGGATGATCGGGCTTTGGTTATCGATCAGACAGGAGGAGTATTTCTGCACGGGATGCGAGGATCCTCCTCGACAGCATGCGAAGGAGACAGATTGCAAGGCACTTGCGCCTAGGCGGGAGGTGTCATGTAGCTATCCTAGGACTAGGGTGCTGAGGCTATTTCAATTGCACATATCACATTGTCCTCATGAGCCAGCACTCTTTGAATCTTGCATGGCCTGACCTGCTGAGAAACCGTTTCTGCCATAAGAAGCTGCTTCTGTCGAATACCGTCTTCTGTCCAGCTACGCCAAGTACGCCCAACGACTCAGTGAGCGCCATGCTGGCGGATATACCGACGGATCTTGTCCTGGAACACGTCGTCCTCGTCACGCTTCTCGTCGCCCTCCATGACGTACATGTCCTCGTCCTCGTCTTCCACCTGGTCGCGGAAGTCAAATTCCTCCTCGTCCGAGGCATTGGCGTTGCGGAAGAGGTAGGCGTGGCGGTCGTACTCGTCCTCGGAGTCGACCTCGTCTTCGGGGTAATCTGCTGTGTAGTGGTTCTCGGCTGCGGCGCGTCAACACATTGAACCCTACCCGGTCCTCCAAACAAGAAAAGGGGGGTCCTCACCATTTTCGTCCTCGTCATCGTCAAAGTCTGAATCGTCTTCTTCGTTGCCATAAAACAGCTCCATGTCCTCCTGCGTGTCGAAGCTAAGCACACCAATCTCCTCGGGCGGGATCTCCGCCAACACCGGCTTCGAGGGCGCCAGCTCGTACACCTCGATAACGTAGTCGTCGTCGCTGCTCTCCTCGCCACCGCTCGCCTCGGCCATCTCCTCGTCGCGGTCGCGGCCGTCGAGCTCCTTCGCCAACTCGGGGTGCCGCTCAGCGAAGCGCTTGACCGGGGCCTTGGGCTTGAAGCGGGACGGCGACGCGGCGGTCGGCGGCGCGGGCGGGTGTTCCATCGCCTTCAGGTTCAACCCGATCTCGTGCAACACCCACTGGTCCATGTCGGCGGCGATCTTGTCCAGGTCTTGGGTGGGCGCGACGCTGGGCATCGGCTTGCGGTCCGCATCGACGTTGGGTGCCGTGGGCCGGGGCGGGCGTTTCGCGAGGGGTTTTTTGGGCGCCGGTTTATCCTCCTCTTTGACGCTGACATCCGTAGATGCAAGGGCAGCGCTCTTCTTGTCTGCATCGAGCTTGTCGAGGGCCCTCCGCGCGCTCTTCTTCTTCCCCCGTTCCACGAAAACGGCGGTACCGTAGCGGCCCCGTTTTGTGACACCGCCGGCCTTGAGTATCGTGCTGCCACTGGGAGAGCTCATCGCCGATCTGGACATGTGGAAGCGCCTCGGCTCGACGGAAGGGTTCGTTGGGCGCTGCGACCCCGCGGCGGTTGCTGAAGTTGTTGTCTGCGCGGCGGGCGCTGCGTTCGCTGCGGACGGCGCATGGCTCGACGATGCGGAGGGGGTGTTCGAGACCGGAGGGCGATGGGAGCTGGACTTCTCGTCGCCTGGCTTAGACGTCTGGATGACAGGCTTGGCATGGGCGGCGGCTTGCTGCGCCGCGGCGGCGGATCTGGCGCTGGCCTTTGCCAGGCGCCTTTGGTAGACCCAACTGCTGCCGGCCAAGTGCCTCTTGGATCCTGGCTCAAGCTCTGCCCTCTGTTAGTACGCGTGTGGTCCCCAGAGAGACAGTAGAGAGGGAGACGCACGAAGGTAGGTAACCGGCGCATCCTCATCGCCCCGCTTCCTCTTGATGTGGATCAGTTGAGGAGGGGCAGACATGGCGGGCGAGAGAGGCAGAGAAGACTGTGACGCGGGGAACCGGAGAGAGAGGGAAAGAGCTACCGGGTTTGCGGATGCTATTGCTATGAAACTTGAAGAAACGATTAGCTAGGGGGGCTGCAGCTGTGATCCCTGGTTTGCGGTGAGCTCTGCTACGTCGCAATTCATGCGGCGATGATGATAGGGAGGGGCTTTTTTTTCTTGTGAAATATGGATTTTTCTGGAAGCCGCCCGCTAGACAACCAAATGGGACCTGGACCACCTGTCAAGACACAACGAGGTCAGATAAGCATGTCTTATCGGTGAGTGGCGTCATTGGCTTAATCTTCTCACCGCTCTCGGCAGAATCGATCTCTTTCTGGGGATGACCCCAGACGGTGGGCTCTCGTTACCGGTTGGGGACTGGAGGGCCGGCGATGAGAAAGCCCCGCCGTATCCGATTCAAGCACAAGGTTGAGCTCCCCACCTTTAGAGCAGACGGCCTCAATGCTGTTTCCTGGCTCTCCAGCAGCCAATTGAACGGCAAGAGTTAAGCTTGACGCGCCTCAGCCACCCACCCTGTTTGCTGGATCAAACTCTGTTATCTGACCGGTAGAATTTAGAAGAAGGGGCAGGCGAGGTTATGGCTGTGTGAGGCCCTGGAGAAGCGTCGTAGAGCTTGGTGATATCTGAAACCACCCAGCGTTTGCCTTACTTGGCCAGCTAGGTAGCTTAGCCATTCGGCCAAAGTCAACAGTTACCATTCCGAATTGCAGTTTTCTAGGGAAATCTTTGGGTTTAGCCAGTCCTGAACCTTGGCATGGCTTCAATGTGTAGTGCAACAAGATGCTAGGTTTAGGCTAGCTCGTCGTTAGTGTTGAGTGCGACATTGGCAGAGCTATTGTGCCGGGCGGCAGACAACTATGCAATGATGCAGCAGATAAATGGGTAGATCTGGGATGGAATTGCCTTTCATCATCAGCGGACTATCCATTCCATGCGAAGCATGATGAAGGTGGGCTAAAGCTCTGGCTCCGCGAGGCCTCAATATGCCTGGAAGCGTCGGTCCTGGTCTGGGCCTCCTTCCACTGGCGCCCACCGTCGAGCTCGGTGGCCGGCGGCTGTGGGGCAACATGGCCCGTGCGCCACGGGAAAGTCTCCGATACTTTGGAAAGATGAGCCGCCACGGCCAATGGGCATGTTCCAGCGACTCCCCCTGCCTCCGGGATGCATCAGGGATGATGACGCACCAAGCATGCCGACGCTGAGATGGAGTAGCAATTACCACGGCGCTGATAACCGCTACTCATGCCCCGGCGACAATGTGCGGGAGCTCTTGCGCCTTGTGCATTGCGTTGGGGAGGCTGCCCGCTAACCACTCGTATCAAGCGTAACGGGGACGGAGGGAGGTGCCGCAATGCTGCAATGCTGCAATTTCGTCTCGTGCCTCACGGCACACCTCTTTGGGTCTGCTCGTCCCATCACGGACGGCATCCACTCAGTGTGCCTTCCAGGCCGACACTGCTATTCAGCTCAATTGCCAGTCGTAGCTGCCATGAGCCATGACGAACCACTGCCTCCCTTAGCCACAAGTTCGCATCTCGTCAGACGATAAACGTAGCTGGCCAAAGTTGGCAGGTCCCTTGTCCTAGCTTCTTCCTCCATCTCACCCCTCCCAACCTCTCTCTCTCCCCAGTCTTCTTACCCTCTGGGCACCCCCAACCTTTGACATGGCACATACGGAATAATCATGCAATGAACCCCTCCTGTGCCACAGCTTCCCTGTTATGAGCTGCTGCACCTCCCACACACCTAGAACAAGGTCATCGCCTCTTGAACTCTCTGCTATCTGAGCCTATCGCTCCTCCGCTCCAAACGCAACTACTGCGGCAACTTCTACCTCCTTCTTCTCCTCTCATCTACTACTCCCCGACCAGCCCAGCTCGTTCCCTCAAAGCTGTTTCACTCGCACCAACACCTAACCCGACTCTTCCTCGTTGCGTGAAACACTCCAACGCGGGTACTCCACTCCCAGATTCCTCTCACCAGGAAGTGGTCTGCGTTCTTTTGTCTTTCCTTTTTCTCACGACCTCATTCAGCGCCTCTTCTTTCCCTCTCCCGAATTAGCACTTTTAAGGTACCGCCCAGAGACAGCCGCATTCGTCAGCGTTTTTCTTCTTTTTTTTCTTCCTCTTCTCAACCCGCTACCCGCACCGTGGGTTCCAAGGGAACGGCTTCCTTTTTTTGCCCCTTTCGTCAAGTTTTCCCTCCCGAGGGTCTCCCTTACCCGTGCTGACTGAAGGTGTGGTAGACGGAAGGCCCAAGAAAAGTCCCCTTTCCTCAACGCTGCTCGCCTGATCGAGTTGGCCGAGTGACGACAACCTGCCGAGCTCTCAGACTCTGACATACCTGGCCGCTGACACCAGCATCGACAATGGTTTCCGTAACGATCACCTACAAGAAGCCCGGCACGCAGCCTCCCATCTTCGTCGCCGGCTCCTTCTCCGATCCACAATGGCAGCCTCAGGAAATGCAATTCACTACCGAGGACGGCGGAGAACACACCTTCCACAAGAATATTGAGGTGCCGCCTAGCTCGCAGATCCAGTATAAATTCCGAGTTGGTCTGGGTGACTGGTGGGTTCTCAACGAAGACGCCCCTACAGGTGAGCCGCTCTGGTTCTCCTACTCCCGGTGGGCTTGGCTAACATGACGTGACCTTGCAGTGACCGACGCCTCTGGGAATCGAAACAATCTCTTGACAGCTCCGGAATCCCAGGAGTACAAACAGCTCAACGGTGACAACGGCGAGCAAGCTACCAAAGCTTCTGAAAGCATGAAGGCCTCAGATGCCGCTGCTGCTCAATCGGCCTCTCAGTTTGAGCCGAATTTAAAGGTTATAGATCACCTCAAGGACGGGGAACGGCAACGACTCTCATCGACGCCAATTGAACAAGTCGCGGCTACCGCAGCAGAGGTCGCCGACAGCGCCGCGGAGCTCGACACCGAAGAGGAGGCGGCTCGCCTTGCACCACTTCTCAAAGGCGTCGATCAGCTGAAGGATGAGGAGCGAAAGCGCCTCTCGTCGACGCCTATTGAGCAGGTTGCTAGCGTTGCCGCCGAGGTTGCCGACAGCGCCCAAAAGCTGGATGTTGATGAGGTGAGGACCGCCAAAGTATCAGAAGCCCAAATCTATGCCCACAACTAACGCGCCGGTAGAACCTCGAAGAGAGGGACAACGCAGAAGACGGCCCCCCGCCACTGTTTGCCCACGAAGCTCTAGGACCCTACGAGCCTTCGGGCAGTGACGACGAAGAGGAGGCTTCTAAGAGGTTTGATCACCATGGCACTGTTGATTACGACGTCGACAAGTACGATCTCAATGATCCGACGTTGGAGCGCTGGCCCTCGAACCGCAGCGAGATCATCGACGCCGTGCGCAAGGTCGAAACTGGACGTAACGAGGATCAGACCACCTTCCACGGCGCACCTGTGTCCCCCATTATCGTATCGCGAAAACCCAATCTTGATCACTACTATGAGGAAGCCGTCATCTCGTCAGGACCCTCTAGCCCAGGTTCCACCAAGAGGCTTGAGTTGCCTAGAAGATCTCACGGCTCAATGGTATCAGACAGATCGCTCCTGTCTCTGGGATCAATTGCTGAAGAGGATAAGGAAACGCCGAGTGCTGAGGAAGCCGACCGCGAGAACGATGGTTTGGTCCGGGTCCCGAGCCCTGCGATACGACCAACACCAAACACCTTTACGTCACCCGCGAGCGACGAGGACGAGGGAGTCGTTATGAAAGGTTCCAAGGCCAAGTCAAAGAAGAGTTCGGAGTCGGCAAGGTCAGAGTCTCCGCACATTAACGGCGAGTCCAACGGCAAGCATCCGATGAATATATCGCCCAAGACATCGCCCGCACAGCCGGACAGCCCTAGCATCCATGTCGAGCCACCCGAGCAGGCTGGAGAGTCCAGCAACACTCAGGATAACAACCAGGCAAAGTCTGTTGGCTTCAACCCTGCCGATTCGGCGTCTACGACCGGCCGAGATGGTGGTCACAAGGGGCAAATCAAGAAGCGCGGAGCTTCATCGACCGAACGCCCTAGCACTCCTTCCTCGATACACAGCGTCACAGACAGCAAGGGTGGCTGGCTGCACGCTTTCTTCCGCGTGTTGTTTGTAGACTGGATCGGTGGTTTGTTCAGCCGGTTATTCGGCAGCAAGAGAAAGGCGTAAGGCTCTCTTCTCTCTCTTCCGGTTCGAATGTAGATCGGTCGCTCGTCTTGTGTTTTTCTTTTGTTCATGTCTTATTCCACACGAAATCTGACAGGTTGACTTTGTCTGTAGGATGCTGGCCACGAGCACGGCCGCCATCGTTGTGGGGGTTGCGTGGTGGAAGCTTACCACGGACGGCGGCGACTTGAGCTGGGTCAGGACTTTGCTGTAATGGGCCGCGGGTGGCTTGCACCAAAGTTGCAGAGCACAGGAGTTTGCACAGGCACACCGGCATGGATTGTACAAGTAATGGAGGGGAAAGAACATTGCTAGGGAGGGAATGAGTAGAACCCGGGGGCATTATGGAGGACCCGGTGGGAGAAGGAGAGTATTGTATCGAGGGGGCATGCAGACAGATACGCATTACTGGACCTGATCAAATTGATATGGTACGGAGGAGCAACGTCTCTACCCATTCGTGCTGGCTTGCTCGTGGCGGTTGCTTCCTGTACCGTCCAAGGCCTCAATTCCACTAAACCACTCTCCAAATAGCACCGGCTCTCGGGGTATCTTTGCCACGACCATCGTCTCCCTCGCGGTTCATTCTCCTGATCCACTCCGCCTCCCTCTCCACGGCGGCGGCTTCAATCTCTCCCATGACGGCCAACTCGTCAAGCATGTCCCTGACCAAGCTGCCGCACCCATCCAACATGCGCTTCAGGCTCGACACTTGCGTCTTGCTATTGCTGCCGTCGCCGTCGCCGCCGCCGCCCGCGTGCTCCGCCTCGACGTACTCGAGCTCCCGCAGCTGCGCGTCCCAGCCCTCGAGCTTGCGGACGAGCGCCGCGGCCTCCTCCTTCCAGCGCGCGTCGAGCCCTCCGCAGAAGCGCACCTCCGAGTCGGCGTCGAGCAGGGCCGAGGGGTCGCCGCTGTCCTCGGCGCGGGCGCGGGCGGCCTCGAGGTCCGGCAGGGCGGAGGCCCAGCGCTCAAAGGCGCGGACGAGGCGGTTGTGCTTGCCGCCGGGGGTGTCGAGGGACCAGAGGGACGTGAGGAGAGCGTCGAGGCGCTGGATCTTGTCCTCGAGGGCGGCAGAGGCGGCGGCGGGGGCGAGGAGGAAGACTGGCCCCAGCGCCGGAGGGCGGCGACGTTGAGGCGCTCCGCGGCGTCGGCCTCGAGGCGCGCGAGGTCGGCCGACGACTTGCCGAGGGAGGCGTGGCGGGCGGCGAGCTTGGTGCGCGCGCTGGCGTGCCACTCGGCCGTGGTCTGGGGCAGGTCGCGGTGCAGGAGGTGCAGCTGGAGCAGCTCGGTCTGCAGGCGGGCCGTCTCGGCGGTAAGGGCGACGTTTGTGGGGAGCTTGGAGGGGGACGGGGGCGCGAGGTACGACGCCGTCAGGGGTTTCGGGGCGAGGGACTTGGCGGGGGAGTAGTGCTGCTGGAGGGTGTTGAAGGCCGGGCGGAGGGCGGCGGCGGTGGTGGTGGGTTTCGGTGGCTGCCGTGGCGGGGAGGTGGGTGAAGCCTGTTGGTGGCGGGAGAGTTGCGGTTGGGGTTTGGCGGGGGGTTTCGGGGCCACGGATGTGGTCGCTGACCGTGTTGGTCTCGTCGATGCCGTTGTGGTCGCCGAGGAAAGCGAGGATATGGACGGTTTCGAGGAGAGGCGGTCCGTCGCGGAGGGCGGCCGCGGCCTCGCTGTCGTCGTCGTCGTCATTGTGGAAGCGGGAGGCGCACCGTAGAGGGACGTCGGCCGCGGCCTTGCCGCCGCAGGGCCGCCGCGACGTTCGGATGTGGACGTCTGGCTGGGCGGCCGCAGGACGGTGCTCCCGCTGAGGGTCGCGACGCTCCTTGCGCGCGCGTGACCCTTGGTGGGGCTCGTTGTCGTCGAGGATGCCGTATTGTTGGCTTTCGCGGCGGGTAAGCCGCCCGACGTCGTTGGCCTCGTGGTCGTTGTGGTGGTCGATCGAGTCACGGCGCCGGTGGTGGATGATGGGAGGTTGCTCGTCGAGGCATTGGGTGGGTATCGAGTCCGCGTCAATCCGGGTTCTCTCGTAGACGACGTCCTCGTCAGGCCTGAGAGGGCACTCGTTCTCGACAGCGGCGCGGACGGGGGCCCCGAGCCGACGGATCCCCCCGAGGCGGCTGCATCTTTCTGTCGCGCTGACGTCGTCCCCGCAGGCTGGCGCGTCGGGGCGCTTCGTCCGAGGAGCGAGGACAGGGGGTTTGATCTCTTCTTCTTCGCCGCCGTCGCGTCGGAGGCGCTTGTCGTGCTGGCGACGCTGGCGCCGGAGACGCTGCGCGTCACCGGGCGCGGGGCCGCGAGAGACCGGGGCGCAGGGAGTCTGCTCGGAGAGGCGGGTCGTTGGACCGAGGTCGTGGGCGCCGTCGCTGCTGCCGTCGTCGCCGCGGCGGGGGCGGTCGATTTCGGGGGTAGATCTGTCGAGGAGGCCTGTGTCGGCTTCCGCAGCGAGCGGGTGCGGGCTAGGGACGAGGACATGATGGATTGGCGTTCATGCGGCTATCCGATGGTCGCTTCTCGCGTTTGCTCGGGACCCCAATTGAGGATGCGGGCCCCTCGTGTCGGGCGCTAAGTCGAGGATAAAAGCAACGAGGGTCACGAATCGAGAAGTAAGTAGGTTGCAGCGGGCCGGGAGGTGTGAAAGCGAAGCCGAGCCGCAATGTTGATGTTGATCTCAGGGGGGGCGTGGGTGGCTCTTGCGGGGTGGGGCTTTGCTGGGGACCCGGGGGTGGGTGGTGGGGGACGGGCGTTGGTTCGGAGAGCCCGCCGGAGCCGCGCGATGACAGGGTACTTCTTCTCTCGCGGCAAAACGGTAGTACCCGTTGGTACCGCGGTAACGTTGTCTGGCTGCAGGACGAGTACTCCGGCGCTTGGGTCTCGTCGACTCTCACGTCGGCGGACGGGCTGGGCCGACAGTGGTACCGTCTGTTCGCGATTTTTGCTTGCGTCACTCCGCCTTTGACGTGCCCCGTCGGAAGCCGAACGCGACGGTGCAATTTCCGGCGCATCCGGGAAAACCCAGCATGCTTGGCAAGGTTTCTCTGGGCGTTGTTGGCGTCGAGGACCAACACACGCGGGAGGTTCCTTCTCCCATCACAAGGTCACGGGATTATTCTCGTTGTGCGACGGGATTCGCCATGCATGTCTTGTTGAGCTATCCGTAGCACAGGGGTCACTAATTCAGCATCTCACAGAGGCTGCATTGCATACACGAGCTTTAATATCTTTTCTTTTCTTCAGGCTTTGGTTTCTGTGGCTCTCGAGGGCCTGGGTCTCTTCATACTCTGAAGTAGTGTTCCTTCCTTCCCGTCTTCGTTATCTGGCTTCGGTTTCATATGCTTGCATCAAGCAAGTAATATCCCACATTCGACAAATCAAAAACAAAAAGAAATGTGCGCGTTCCTCAGCCTTCTGTCGAGGTCACGGCAAGCCCCTATACACAAGAACGTGGTATCTGGAGGGGAAAGAAAGGGGGGTATCAACCAACAGACATCTCTATCTAGTCCCACAATGAACAAAGTTGTTTTCCCTGATGCATCCGAGGCCGAAGTGAACAGGGGGAAAATATGGCCAAGTAATTTTCTTTCCCTATGCCAAAGCAAGCAAGAACGAGAATGAAGAATGGTTATGTCCATGATCAAGTCGCAACCTAATGGGGCTGGGTATGATGATGTTCTTCCGTCGACTTCTACGCCATCTGGTAGTGCTGCTCACCCATCTTCTGGGTCGGCTCAATACCTGCAGCTGTAGTAGGACGCTCCTGCGAGCCGCCGCTGTGCGGGTTGCCTTCCAAATGTGCCATGAGCTTCCTGAGGTCCCTGCGATTGCTGTTGAAGACCTGCAAGCACGAGCCGCACATGCGGACGTAACAGAACTGGCACTTGTAGCGGTCTTCCGTGTCGGCCTTGCCGCAAGTCTGGCAGGTAAGGGCGTAGTTGCGGTTGCGGGTACGGTCCATGACGCGGTGCTTGACGTAGCAGTCGAACATGCTTTCCTTGAGCGGCAGCGCCTTGAAGACGATGCCGGGACTGGGGGGCTCGGAGCCCTGCATGGGGAAGTAGGACGCGCGCGGATCGGCGGGCGGCAGGTCCTTGACCTTGAGCTCGCGGTACTCGACGGGTTCCTGGTGAGGGCGCTGGTCTCGCGAGGCTGGTCGCTGATCGCCCTGCGTGGGGCCGGGTGCCGGCGCATGAGGCGCATAGGGGGTGTAGTCCTGGGGTGGGTGCTGCCATTGGCCTCTCTGTTGCTGTTGCTGGTTTTGTGTGGAGCGAGGCGACAGCTGCTTCTGAGTACGGGGACTGACGGGGCTCACTGCGAAGTCTCTCGTGATTGTGGGAGGAGCTTCGTTGCTGGTGACAGGCCCGTCCGTTCGCAACTGAGGTAGGCTGTGGACGGCGTGTAAGTTGCGCGCAGTGACTGCCTTGCGAGGAATCGGCGGCTTCGGCTCGTTGTTTGCTTGGTCGCGCGCGGGCTCGGGGGATGAAGCGGGCGAGACGGGGGACACGACTCTGTCGACAACTTGCGTCTTGACGTCCTCCTTCTCGTAGTCGGGGGTGGGCAAGCGCTGGGTCGGCGAGAGCGCCGTGTCGCTGTGGGACGCGCCCCGGTTGGGGCCTTCCTGGCCGTCGCGCAGGTGCGAGATCTTGCCCTTCAGTCTCGACACCTCTTGGCCCATATTGCCTGCGTCCGATGCCGGGTTTGGCGAGGGCACGGGTCGGATATTTCTGCCGGGTAAATTTGACGTGCTGCGAGCAGGGAATTGCTGTTGCTGCTGGGCCGAGAAGGGAGCGGGCGAGTTTGAAGGTTGCGCGGTGTTTGGTTGCGAAGCGGCCGTCGACCCGTGGCTGGCTGCCAGTTGAAGTTCGGGAACTTCTATATTACGATCAGATTTTACAGATCTCCTCCTCCACAACGGTCGCTGCGGCGATGAGCTTGACACGGCGCTCGTCGGGCTGCCAACAGTCGAACTCTGCGCCGGCTTGGCTGGAGGGGGCGGGCCTTGCTCGCCGCGGTATGCCGGGTGAGGCGGCAGGCCCTTGTTGGACGTGAACTTTTGTGCGCCGCGGTGTTCATTGTCACCAGACGACAACGAGGTGGGCGGCATGATCTTTGGTTCCCTCGTTCCATACTGATCAGAGGCGTATGTCGGGGCCGAGTCTCTCTGGCTGGCGCTTCCGTCCGGCGACATGATGAGGGATTCGCCCGAGCTCCTCGAATAAGCTGACAGCAGGCTACCGATCGAGTTTCTTTCGTCTTCGGGGGAGGTGGACTGCGGCTGAGATGACGGCGTCGGCGGTGGTGGTTGCTTCGCGACTGGCCGGCGAGAGATATGTACTGGCGGTAACGCTTTCGTCTGGAGGGGAGGGAGGGGAGGGAGGGACTGGTTGAGGGTTTGCGGCGGTGGCAACGGCTTGTCCGACATGGCGAAGGTCTTCTTGGACGGCACGGGAGGCACGGGGGGAATCGAGGGAAGCTGTTTAGACTTGGGAGAAGAATCCGTCTCTGGAGGCGGAGGGGTCGGTAGGGCTTTTGAGAAGCGTGATCTCCCCTTTCTGCTGTGAGAACGGAGGAAGTCCATGTTGGACAAGGCCCCCGGATGGGCGGTGGACTGAAGACTATTACTGGGATTGATGGCGCGCTTCCCCTTCCCCTTAGCTACCTTGCCCGGCTTGCCTTTGGATGTGGCTCTAGACTGCGTCGATTCTCGCCAATCGGCTGGAGGAAATGACCAAGGAGGTCGGGCGGCGAGGAAATCAAGGCACCGAAGTCGAGCAGGCAGGCCTGGTGGGACTCGACAACGTGGGACAAAGGAGGTATGGCGACGAGTTGATTGGAGCGATGAGGTTCCGGCTTTTGCCACGGCATTCAGCGTCGTAGCATCGTGGTTCTGCAAGTAGCAGGCATCAAGGGTCTCGAGAGGGGAGGAGAGAGGATTCGCGACGTGCACAGCAGCAGATGCCTGCAGGATAAGGAGCGGTGGTAAGGAGGCACAAAACTGGGAGGGGGGGAGGAGAGACGCCGGAGAAGAAACTTGAAGGGCGTGTGGGAGGTTGCATCTGGCTGGATAGCAACGGAGCTTCAAGGGGTGGCAGAATCAGAACAACGACTGAACGAGTCCGGCAGAGATGGAAAAGTGGTAGAAGCGGGAGGGGGGGGGAGGGGGGTGTAATGTTGGCGTCAAGTTGAATGCTGGCAGCCACGGAGAACCCTGCAATGGGCCAAGGTCTGAACGTTGGACTTTGTCCTCTTCTTGGGATGGAAGATGATGGGATAGACAAGGGTGTCATCGATATGGTTAAAGTGAAAGTACCTTTTGCATGTCCACCCTCATCAGTAACCAGGTACAATACCGTAGGCACGCCGAACGACGCAAGATGGGGAATCCGTTTGGATACGCGGCGGTTCTCCGATGCTGGGCATGTGCATACGATGAATGTACCTCGCCTGCGTTGCGAGCGGGAAGAGATAGTCTTGACTCCCATTCTCACTTGGTGGTTTTTTTCTTCTCCTTTTCCCTTTTCTTTTCGTCTCTGCTGTCTTTTTTTAGCGTCTTGCTCTACTCTACGCCGCCCTGAACACAATACCTGCAAAGTCCGTTATTGGCTCCGTCAGGCTGGAACCGGCCCCTCCCATCCCAGGGGTGCGGAGCAATTGGCTGTTGCGACCCTCCCACGTCGCATCGGCAGCCCTGCAATGAAAGCAAGCAGGATTCAGGAACAAGAACTTTCCTGCCGCGGGTGCTGGGATCATCGAGGCTGGCGTGCCTTGGGGGGCTGGGGCTGGTGACGGCTGCCCGGACATGGTGGGTGGCGGGTGGGTTGATGCGTGTGTGGTGGTTGCCCTCGTCGCCGATTGACAGCTTGCTCGCGCAAGTACTATGTAGTTGCTACGCTAACTGACTACGGAGTCGACTTTGACAACTCAATGCAATCCGCGCCCACGTCGTCGACTCACAGACTGGCCCAGGCGACACCTTCAGCTGACAACGTCAATCCCGTCATGCACCTAGCGGGCTGTGCACGCTTCAATGCTCACTGCCACTGCTTGATCGCTCAGCGTCAACCGCTCCGCCACAACCCGCCCGCTCGCTCCAAGTCGCCCTCGAACAAGTCATCCAATTGCCCACCAGCCGTCCCATGCGGCTCATGATTCAACCCGATCTCTAATCTTAATCCTGCATTCCTCGGCTGTGGCACCTACGAGACATTAATCTAAGAGACAGAGACACCCGCACACACACGCCAGGCGGCAGACCCCCTCCCTACTCCGTCACCCAACATTCCCATCTCGATTCTCGATAGGCTGAAACTGGCCGCCGCTGTGGAGGGGTTCAACAAAAGGGTCGAGTCGCTCGACCTCGCCAAGGCCCGCGTTAAATCACTACGGATTGACTGCACGCCGCAATTATCGGGAATGCCTCTTTGTTGCGAGTTGATGGTTCGATATGAGCACCTCGATATTCATGACGCCATGGCAGCACCTATTGGGTGTCGTGGCAGACAGACGACGCAGATACCGGACATCAAACAACGGGCGGGCATCATTAGCAGTCCGAGGTGCCCCCGTCCGATTATTGACTCTGACGTCCAAGCTGTTTGTGGTGTGCGCATTAGCCCTCGTGATGGTGCGCCCTCCGCATCTCACCCGCCGTGCCGCGTAATGAGGATGACATTCATGTCGTATCCGGTATGGCCACAATCAGCAATTGTGCCAACACCGCTCGAGTCGCTGTGCCACCAGAACACGGTCTGGCTGATACAAGGCCGCAAGGCGATAGCACCCATCAGAACCACGCTGGACTTGTCGCCGTTTGTGCTCGCGGACTGTCTGGTTGCGGTGGCTGCCAGTATAGGGAGCCCGACCAACCAACTCCTAGCGGAACACGGGAGCTACGGAATGCACCGTTGCAGACTTGGAGACGGCCGAGCCCCAGCACTCACCAATCATAGTCTGCGAACCTTGACGTCGAAGCTGAAAAAGAGAGGTTATTGCCCAGCCATTCCTCAACGTGGCAGAGGCCAATCCCGTCCTATCGCAATACCTGTGCGCTGACACGACACAACTACCGTAGCACGATTAGACCCATCACTTCTCCCGACTTTGGCTCCATTGCACATCCTGCCTGTCTGTCAGATTCTCATCCTGTACATCTGTATTGACAGCTGGTCTGCGCTCGCCCTTTCCCACCGTCCTTCAGGCCCTTCCAGCGCCCAAGCCAGCCACGGCGGGCGAATAACGATCTGCGCCAGGGAAGCCAACCAGACGCCAGGCCCTACGACGACTGCTGGGACAGAGATGGGGTCGCATCTCACCTGCAAATCCCGGTCCGGCATCAGATATACAGGGGCGGTGCCTTGCCTCGCGGCTCGCTAACCCTAGGAGCCCGCCTGCTCGCGGGCTCCCCGACCGGGAATCCGGTTAGCAACGTACTAGACAATGTAGAGCGCAACTTCTGATGAACTCGACATTGAACCAACCCACTGAGACCAGACCCGACCAGCATCGGTCATCGAAAATACCAGCCATTTGCTGCAAAGCCAGCCTGCTCAACTGGACGGCACCAGCTTGCAAGGGGGCGTATCGCTGAGCAAGGGCCTCTCTGCTCGCATGAACCGCAGGTTTGAGCCATTTTGACTTCTGTCATTCGAGTCTCACAATTAGGCTGCTGGGGGGTCCCTGCAAGCACATCAGACCGATAACTAGTGTAGGTGCCGTGCTCCTGACCAGACTCCACTGAGCCCCCTTGGACTGTGAAGCTTGATGATGACGAAAGGTCGCTTCCCGTCGCGTAGGCGCACAGAGTTGGGACGACATAATGGGTCAGTGCGCCATGACCGCACTGCAATACAGCGCAAGTCACATTCTTTCATTCAATGTTCAAAGCTTGTTGACGAGAAGAACCGGCTTATCCTGATGAGTCGCACTGCACACGCACATACACAAGAAATGGCGACGCCAGCGCCATGCTGTGCCACTTGTCATGGCATCGATTCCAACAGGATCAAGCTGCTTTTGGACCGAGGGCCAACCTGTAGAATGTTGGTAGGGAAAAGAAGGAAAAGTTGGAGGGGGAAGAAAGACGCGTTTGCGACAATAGCCTTGTTGTCGTTGGCCAACCTCCGGCCCCTTGACAGTTCGCATCCTCCCAGCGCTTTCAGAGCGCCATCGCCAGTTGGCAGGCAGCGTTCTGACGGGAACCCGCGCTGCGGAGAATAAATTAACATTCAAATGATTTTTGGGGCCCTCGATGTGGGATGATGGAGTGGTAATGTGACGGTTTGTTTCACACTGACTGGATTTTTAAGATGAGTCGCGATCCGCTTTCATTCCGCGCCCTTTTTTTTTTTCTTCTTTACTTACTTTTTTTTTCTCTTCTCGATCCGCTTCGCTAGCGTAATTCGCTTCCACTGCGAACCCTGTTCATTTTGCCGACCGATTGGTTGGTTAGGTGACTTGTCAATGGACCAACGGAAGCCTCGGAGAGATTCGGTCGAAGGCCGCGCGAGGTGAGGAGTTTGTCAAGATCTTTGGGAACACTTGGAGCGGGTTACCGAGCTGATTTGGTTCTGGGGCCGTTGCGATATCCACTTTGCCCCTGCTCGTCAACCAACGCTTGGGTTTGCCATTACGTTCCTGTTGCCAGCCGATGAAGGTTTTCGTATCGAAGAGACATGTCTTCGGAGAGTTTTGAGGCAATACAACCCAACCCGAAAATTCGGTGAGCAGCCCACGAACCATGGCACTACTCCAGAGCTTTCTGGTGGCGAACGTTTCTTACCCTCGGGTTCCAAGGTCGCCTATTCTCGAGCGAGATGCAAGCTTCATTCATGATCACGTGCCGGCCCGCAGGAATGGCGTTATCCGGATAACGGGCGGGACCGGCTTATCGCGGGCAAGTGTCCGATGATGGTGCCGACAGAAACGGGGCTTTACTGTATGCAGGAGGCGGGTTATCGATCCTCGTCGGCGAGGATGCGAACGTCGGAGAGAGATAACAGAGTGGTGGCTTGAAAAGGTCCAAGTTCGCAATTGTGCTTCAGTGCTGTGATTTCTGCATTGAGACGGCAGCGGTATCCCCGCGATTGATTCTTGACACTCGGACGCTCCTTTGAAGCCTTCTTCCCCTCTTCGGCCCCTCTTCCGCAACCATGACCGGCTCCGCTGATGACGCCTCCGTTCCGACGGAGACGTCGCCGCTTCTGCGCAATGCCGACTCGGAGGTTGCCAATAGTAACGGCACCGTCGAGAATGGCCCGGCAAACGGCGCCTCGGCCGTGGCCGACGACGCCAATAATAACCGGGACGGTAACCCGGAGATGGCCAAGAAGATGCACATCCTCCTTCCGGCCGTCGGCATCGGCGTAGGTCCCACCCCGCACCCGGCGTAGGTACCCGTGCTCAACCGTCTCACTCACCGGGATGTACCTAGATCTACCTCTGCGCCGTCGACCAGCTGCTCACCGTCGCGACCTACGCCAAGATCGGCAGCGAGCTGCACGCTCTGAAGAACACGAGCTGGCTCGCAACCGCGTGAGTATACCGCCGCATCCCTGAGCCATTGCCGCCTCGCTGACACGCACGACAGCTACTACATCACCCTGACCAGCTTCCAGCCCCTCTACGGCAAGCTCAGCGACATCTTTGGCCGCAAGGAGTGCCTCCTGTTCGCCTACGTCGTCTTCGCCCTCGGCTCTCTGGGCTGCGGCCTCGCCCAGTCCTTCGCCCAGCTCTGCGTCGCCCGCGCCGTCGCCGGCATCGGCGGCGGCGGCATGAACAGCGTCGTCGCCATCCTCCTCAGCGACATTGTGCCGCTGCGCGACCGCGGCGTCTGGCAGGGCTACCTCAACATCATCTTCGCCGCCGGCACCTCCACCGGCGCGCCCCTCGGCGGCCTGCTCGCCGACTCGGTCGGCTGGCGCTGGTCCTTTGCGGGCCAGGTCCCGCTGTGCGTCCTCGCGTTCCTCGCCGTGTATTTTGTGCTCGACCTCCCGCCGACGGACCACGCGCACTGGCGCGAGAAGTTCCGCCGCATCGACTTCCTGGGCGCTGCGACCCTCGTCGCGGCCGTGGTCGCGCTGCTCGTCGGCCTCGACTCGGGCTCCAACAACGGGTGGTCGAACCCCGTCACAATCGCCGGACTGGCCTCGACGCCGGCCCTCTTTGCCATCTTCGTCTTCGTCGAGATGCGCGTCGCGTCGCACCCGTTCGCGCCGGGCCACATCATCTTTGACCGGTCGCTGTTCGCGTGCTACCTGGCCAACTTCTTCGGCATCGCCGGCCACATCGCCTCCATCTTCTTCCTCCCGCTCTTCTTCCAGGCCGTGCAGGGCGCGTCGGCGACGCAGGCCGGCGCGGCGTTGGTGCCGGCCATGATCGCCTCCGTCACTGCGAGCGTGAGCGCGGGCGTCTTCATGAAGCGCCGCGGCAAGTACTACACCCTCACGGTGCTGGCGTACGGGCTGATGGTTGCCGCCGTCGCGCCGACGGTCGTGTTCCTCCACCTTCGCTCCACGGTGGGCGTTGTGGGCAGCATGGCGCTGCTCGCGCTCGGCGGCGGCGCGGGCATCACGACGACGCTGGTGGCACTGCTGTCCAACGCCGCGGTGCAAGACACGGCTGTTGTCGTGGCGTGCTCGTACCTGTTCCGATCGCTGGGGTCGAGCATCGGCATCAGCGTGTGCTCGGCGGTGCTGCAGCAGGTGCTGCGGACGCAGCTCGCCGCGCGGCTGAGCGACGGCGACGAGGCGCGCCGCGTCGAGGAGCGGGTGCGCGAGAGCCTCGACTACATCCGCGAGCTGCCGCCCGCCGTGGCCGGCGAGGTGCGCGCGAGCTACCAGGTTGCGACGCTGGGCGCCATGGTCCCGATGGCGCTGCTGCTGGTGCTTGCTTTCGGGTCGACCTTTTTCATTCGGGAGAAAGCCTTGGGGAAGTAAGTAGACCGCAAAGGGCGTGCCCCGTCATCATCTGTCCTTCTGCGCGAGGTCCATCGTGGAAAATGTCGGGATGGATGGCTTGAGTGTACATGCGGTTGCAGCTTTGAGAAGGAGGGTGTGGCTTAGTAGCTGTAGATGGTTGTGAGGATGCCATATCAAAAGCCAGATCAGGGGTACGAACATATTTCGTGAGCAATTGTCTATTTGTGCGAGTAGTAAATGTCACTCGTAATATGAGCGTTTGTCTTCTGCGCAATACCGCTTCTTCTGGCCTTTTTAAAGAAACCTTGGCTCTTGTCGGCTTTCAGTGAGAGGGACTTCTACAGAACGGTCTACTAAACACTCGGCCACAGTTCTATCGAGTGTCATCCGCAGGCTAACTTAACTGCTGGCGTTGAGCATCCGTATTATCCTAGGTGTGATAGACGCCATCAACACTGAAAACAACCCCTTACATTTAACCAGGCGCACATATTCCTTTACATCCCTTTATATCCGCTCCCTCAGGTGTAAATGTATGGATGCTCAACAGCTCTTGGTTTCATGGCAGCTTGTATTCCGATTAGTGTCACCATCAATATTGTTTGAGGCAGAGAGAGCACGGCTACGGTGGATTTAAGGAAAAGGCCCAGGTCAAAGTTGTATCGAAGTAACGCGTAGGCTCTAGTTGGGCTTTGACTTGTATTGGAAGACCGACGACCGTATACTAGACAAGTCTGTGGGGTTGAGCCAGTGGCTTCGTCTTGCTGCCTCATGAAGCCGATGCAGACCCTAGTCTTGAACATGGTCGCATCCTCCATTTGCGCGCTGTTGCATACGATCTGCCTCACCCACTGCAGGCGATCCACCAGACCAGGAAGGCCAATGTTAGGAATACAGGCAATGCCCCACGGGCTTGCCGCCCTACCCGTCATGTCCTTCCAGGCATTTGCTGCCCTTCCCCAGATTCCTTCGCAAACTGGGGATGGCTGCGGCACATGCGTCTGGCTCTGTATAGTCAAGAAGCGCTCGCTTTCACCATGCGCGCAAGTGGACTTTGCACAGCTGCCCTGCAATTCAGTTGGTCAGTGGCTTGGAGTAAGCATACGCCATGACCACCATGGCGGGGATGGTGCATGGCAACCCGCCGCCCCGCGAACTGAAGTTAATTGCCCGTCTTGGTGTCGTTCCTCAGCTACTACAAGGCCGTTGCGGCCTGGGCTCTGCAGGACAAGCTTTCGACCTCTGGTCTGTGCAGCACGAGATAAATCATTAAGGACTGGCCTCAATGTAATAAGGCTGAGGCCGTTTGTCGCGATGTCCGTGTATAATAAGATGCGAGAACCCCGCATCTTTTTTTGGAGCTTCTCCACGAGTAAGGCTGGACTTTTTACAGAGAACAGGCCCTGGTACCACGAACCATGACAGGGAGTTGCCAGCGTATGACTAGTGGCGCAGGCCAAATGGCTGACTGGATAGCAGTCAAGACCAACAGGTACTATAGAAAGATCGACAGGGGCGACTCTTCAGCAATGCGGACAAGAGGTCATCGCCGAGTGTCGGACATGACCGAGGTCCAGTCTGAACCTAAAGCAAAGCATCTTTTTAGGTTGAAGGGAAGAACATCAAATCTATAAGATATCTGCACTGTTCCGTCGTCAAAATGATCTAGAACATTAACAAGATAACTCTAGCGCTAGGCAACCGCCTGTCACATTCTTTTCAACATTACACTCAGTTCATCGTTACACTCATTCAATTAACAGACACAAATCACACTCACTTTTATCAAATAAGATGCGTGTCTCCATCCCGACCATTCTTACAGGCCTCTTTATGGCCAAGCCGATTTTGGCTAGCATCTCCTCTCCCCTCTATCTGCCTTTTGAACTAGAGAAGCGCGATTGCGGATTTAGCTACTGCGACTGCCAGCGCGTGCAGTGTCAACTTGACTTTTGCTTTGATGATCATGTAGATCCATGGGTCTTGGTCGATAGTGCCTGTAAGTGGACATCCCTATAGGCCCTTTCTTGCGCTACAAGAAACTTTGGTCCTAATAATTCCCTCTTTCATTGCAGTAAACAGGTACTACGGAGTCGACTGCGGTCAATGGGACAGCTGGCAACGAAACGACCCTGCCCAATGGTGCAACAACGGCCTGCGCCAGGGGAACGGTATATTCTACATTAATCGCAAATTCGGATCCCTCGGCAAGGCCTTCTCCGTTTCCTACAAGAATGAGAACGTGACCGATCCTAACCGGGGCTCCGTGTCTGGCACCTGCCGCCCGGTTCAGAACGTCCAATGCAAGTGTCACTCGGTATACAATGCTACAGCTCATGATTGTTCGGTTCCATGCAAGGATTGAGTCGTGCACCACACAGGGCGGTGGGTTACCTTACGTACTAGACTGCAACAATTCATCGACCTGAAAAGGAACCTCATTAGTAAAGAATGCGAGTTCATGCGAGTGTTTGAGCCTTATTCGCAAACCAACATGATAGAGAAGTTTGTCAATTTGGCATGGGAATCTGAAGCGTTCTTGTCAACCGTCCGCTCATAGAAGGGAACCCCCCTTGTTTCTGGATGGTCATGCGCCAAGTTTGACCCTCTCGGTGATCATAGTGCGGTCCAAAGACGTGCAACAGCTAGTCGTCAAAAACACCACCGCAGCGTGCGTTAACAATCATGTGGGGTTGAACATCTCTTTCTACCTCCTAGACACCAACGGGGAAAAAGGAGTGTACCCAGGATGAAATAAGGCAAAGTTGCACCTAGTGGCACCTGGATCGCAGTATATGTAAGGTTACTCCTCGACCGAACACGTGAAGTTAAACGAAGCTCGGTTTGTCATATAATAATAACACTGAGAGCCCCTTTTGTCTTTTCAAGGGCCATGTACCTCTGCTTCTTCCCTCTAATGGTGGCACGACATCCACAGAACGCTGAGATCCGTTCAGCCATGGGTACATCCACAATGGACGCTAGTCGGGTTGTTCCAAAAGCCCGACGACAATGGCCAGCTCAAGCCGGCAGCAGCATTCTACAACAAGGACTTTGAGAAAAGATGTCTCGTCGGAGACCAGGCTTCAAAAGGGAATCCAAATGAAGGTAGAGTTCTGGTGGAGGGAGGATGTTGAGAAGTAGGTACAGGACACATATAGCCCACCACCAACGAGCTTGGTCATCAAGAAACCCAGTAGAGCCACGAGTTCGGAGGTTGGTCTTACTGTATGATCCCAACCAAATGGCCGAGGCAGAATGCAAGACTAAGCCGGACGACAACGTGGCATTCTTTTCATCGGGGACTCGGGTCGTTCTCCACCCCGGTATGTGAGGTCTATAGATCCATGTAGTTCCTGGTGCCGGGAGCTTGTGGGAAAGAATACTTTAATATGCTTCCAATGTCCTGGATTGCACATGAGTTGTCAGGATACTGTCCGTCCACTTTGACAGCCATCTGCTTTACGAACCCGCGGGCATCCGGGCTGGCGAGATTGATCAGCCGACTTTAAAGATAGTTTAACGGTGCCAACTAAAATAAGAAGGGCAAAGCTTGTTCCAACGTATCGGCTAAATGGCGTGCACAAAGTTTCACAATACGGACGATTTTGGAGCATTGGCGGATCATATCAGGTGTCCATTAACCATCAGACCAATTACGTAAGGTTTGTTGGTAAAGGTGCAAACAGAGCAGACCAGATACAGGAGACGTTCAAAGGTTGATACTTTCGCCTTTTTGTGTTGCGTTAATTGCTACGCAGAAACGTAAAGGCAACAATGCTAAGCAATCCGCGCACGCTTCTCTTCATATTGCTAAGAATGGTGGCTTCGCTAACTCTTCACGTCTTGTAAGTTGACTTTGCCAAGGATCTTCTTGAATTAGCGACATGCTGTCTGATGTTTTGACAACTAGCAGAATGTCAAGTTGCTCTGTTGCAGCTGCGGTGGGTACAGCTGTAAGCAGTCCTGTTGTAATATACCAGCACCCACGAAGGTCTCGCCTGTGTACATCTGCAAGACGACAAATAAGTCTTATTAACTGGCCATAGGTCATGGTTGAAAAGGTCCATAACGACCTGTGGTTCGTTATCCTGACAAACCGAGTGGGTTGAAAAGTCTTTTGACTAGTTAGAGATGGCCTTGTAACAGAGCCATTCAAAGCGGGAGATCTGCCAATTATCACGATCCCGTTAAGCTCCTCCTTGTGTATATCAGTTGTAACATTACCTTAGATACCTATATGTATCGAGCTAGACCACTTTGCTTTGCTGTCAAACTTCCAGGCTTTCAAGATCTCTGTCTGTCTGTCCAATCTGTGAAGTTATATTCGTTGGGCCATCTCGCAACTTTCGGTTCCCCGCAGCCTGTGACAGAAGGATTGACCCGACGTCGTCAAACCCGACCATCCCTGCTAGGCTCAAATGAAGTGGTCTGCAAGATGTATCCTGTGCCCCTTCAGTTTGCAGTACAAATGGCCTCTTCAGCCCCTCACTGGCTAATATTTCTTCATTTGTCAAGGTTTCCCAAAAAACTTACTCTTCTAACTGATGCCTCGGTTGGTTCCTTGATTCAATTTGGCGAGCATGGTCCAACTTTACAAAGACTGACTAGAGCGGGTATCCGGAACGGTTCCTGTCCGTTGGGATCGTGAATGTGACTCTGCATACTATTAAGGTTGGGTACGAGGTTGTCGTACAGTTTACCCACCAAACCTTGGCATTCGGGAGCTGCATCGACCGCACTGTGTAAGGTTCCACCGGTGTAATCGTGCCGGTGGTCATGGCTTAGTACAAAGTGACAATTAAACTTTACCCCTGGTTGCTCAATCGGGATCTTTGGCAGCTCGTCAACTCCAAAGTTGACGATGATGGCCGTCAGTCATAAGTCGCTTCACCTCCACCGTGTTCACCTCGCAGTGTACAGCGAAGGAGTAACCCGTCTCAACTCATCACATTCGTTTTAAGGGTTAAACCCCAAAGCTTCATATCATCATGGTCAACTTAACTCCAACCGTTTTGACGGCTTTCTTCCTTTTAGGGAGAGCCCAGGCCGCCTCCTTCGTCTGCACTGATCGTAACTCAACATCGTATACGGCCATCACGGACTATGTGGGATGCTTCCCAGGTAACTCTGGTTTCCTGAACGATGGAAAGCTATACTCCGTTGCCATGTCTCCTCAGGTTTGCGCGAATTATTGTGGAGAGCGAGGCTTTAGCTATGGCGCAATCTATTCTGGAACGTAAGTCGGCCAGAAACTGCTCCCGCAAACTGAAAGGCAGCCTTGGCTAACCCAGATGATATCAACAGTCAATGCGTCTGCGGATCGAGCATTGACAACGCGACTACTGTGGCTGATAGTCAGTGTAGCACGAAGTGTCCCACTCAGCCTTCACTTATGTGTGGATCATACAGCTAGTATGTTAAATCCTCTTATTACGCTTGCCGGGCTGACTTTTTGGTGCGAAGCTTGTCTGTATACAAAATCACGAACCCTAATGACCGTGATGACACTTCCGCTTCTGCACCTGTCCCGCCTGCCTGCCACACCTACCCGCTTTGCCAGCACCCCATTTGCGATAACTCAACCACCCTGCTTCCCACGCAACCCCGCATACCACGCAGCCCCAAACCCCCATCAATATCACCATACCCATCAACAACATCCATTATTCCTCATCCCTACCACCTACCCAGATGCAACTTTCTGCTTCACTAGATAATTCAGATCCACTGGATTCACTTGTGCTACTCTCTGCTTCGCCAGCAGCAATTTGCGCCCGTCGGATATCCTCGATATTAGCGAACGTCGTGTTAGGGTCCGTCTGGACCCTTTTTCTCCTGCCTTGTTGCTGACTATCCGTCTGGGCCTGGAATGCCTGGGCCTGACGCTCTAGGACTGTCAGTCTATAGGCCTGTTGGTCCCAGCCTTTTTGGACCTTTCTAAATAGGTGGCGTTGGGTGTAGATTTCTCGGGTATCTTGCGTAAGCTGGTTGAATAGGTGCAGCTGACGCTGAAGATCAGCAGACTTACGCGGGGTTGACCATGGGACTATAGATACAGCTCCATCCCACTGCTGACTTCCTGACTGCCCAGCTGTCTGGCCGTCTAGCTGTCTGGCTGGCTGGCTGGCTGATGCCTTAGACACGAAAGGGCTAGATAGAGGTTGCGCTACATCAACTGGCCATAACCCAGTGTGTTTCCAGCCGCTTTTAATAACCTGGATAGTCAAGGCGTCTAGACGTGCCCTTCTATAACAGTCTATAAAGTTCCTCTTGCCTGTTACAGTTGAATCGCTTTGTATATCTAGGTACCCTAGATACTTCCTATAGGCTGCCTTAAGAGGTCGGAATACTGACTGATCTAGAGGCTGGAGGACGTGTGATGTGTGCGGCGGCAGAAACAGGAGGTGTATGTGGTTCCGGAAGCATCGCCACAGAAAGTCTGTTGTTGTATGGCTATGATGGGCGTCTAGAACTAGTAGTCTAGTATCTGAAGGGTCCTCTGGGACAGTCTGAGGGATAAAGACCTTTTCTAGCCATTCTAGGGCATTCTGATCAGTTGTCCAGCCGTTCTCTGTTGCTGTGAATTTCCAGCTAGCATAGGGTTGAAGATCTAGAGGAAACCACTGTTGCTGGACTGACTTGCCCTTATACATAACAAGAGGCGGAAGTGCGCGTCCTCTGGCAGAGACGCACTCGATCAGAGATACCCATGCCCGCGATCCAGGCTGTTTTTTCTGGATATACTTGGTCTCTGACGATCCTAGTACTAGCCCATTGCTTCCTTTGCCCTCGAGGATACCAGTCTCATCCATGTTCCATCTATTAGCTGGCTTGATGGGCAGGATTGCTGGCAGATCAAGGCGATGAAACCATTCCTGGATAATGTCAGCAGTTGCCCCATTAATTCGCCTAGCGTCAATTGCCCTGCATCGCTGGGTTCTGATAGATGGGTTTCTGCGAAGAAATCGCTGCATCCACTTCCTCCCAAGTGGTCGCTGCCCATCGCCCAGCATGCGCTCAGCCAGCCCTTTGACTTGCTGATGGCAAAACGCAGAGCCTAGGGCAGCCTGCTTAGATATCCACTCAGCAAGTAGACCTTCCTGGTTCTGAGATAACCGCTGCAGTCTACCAAAGGCAGTATTTCTAGACTGGGTACCATGGAGACGTTGTCGTACAGTCGCCTCTGGGATGCCCCATTTGCGACCTGCCCCGCGGATACTAAGCCCGTCAGCAATATCCCAAAGTGCCCGCTGCAGCTCATGTTCACTATACTGCTTCATCTTATAGTAAAAAAGATATCCTCAAAAAATGGCGTTGTTTGGGGTAGAATAGAAGATGTTGTGATAGTTAGAAAAGAGGAGTAGGTTTTATGGTGACGCGTTGTTGGGCTGCGTGGTATGCGGGGTTGCGTGGGAAGCAGGGTGGTTGAGTTACTTCTAAAAGTATCTCTGAGCGGGTCGCTTCGCTTGTTGGTAATCTTACTGTGGAGGAGAAGATCCAAAATCTTGTTGATGCTGCCGCGGGTGCCAAGGCTTTAGGCTTGCCCGCCCATGCTTGGTGGAACGAGGGCCTTCACGGAGTTGGCTCTTCCCCCGGTGTTTGGTTCACAGATGACCCGAAGCCTTTCAGCCACGCCACGAGCTTTCCTTCGCCGATTCTCACAGCGGCAAGTTTCGACGATGATCTCGTCCTCGCAATTGGCAAAGTCATCGGCAAAGAAGGTCGCGCTTTCAGTAACTACGGTCACGCAGGCTTTGACTTCTGGACGCCCAACATGAATGCCTTCCGGGACCCTCGATGGGGCAGAGGCCAGGAGACACCTGGTGAAGACATTCTGGTCGTCTCGAACTACGTCCAGAACTTCATCGCAGGGTTACAGGGCGAGGACCCGAACGAAAAGATGATCATCGCTACGTGCAAGCATTTCGCCGCCTACGACATCGAAACTGCCAGGCGTGCCAACAACTACAACCCTAGCCAGCAGGACCTGCAGGATTACTTTCTGCCCGCCTTCAGACGCTGTGTTCGAGACAGCAATGTCGGCAGTGTCATGTGCTCTTACAACAGTATGGATGGAATCCCAGCATGCAGTAGTGAGTATCTATTGAAGGAGGTTCTCAGAGATACATGGGGCTTCACCAAGGATTATCAATATGTCGTGTCCGATTGTGCTGCGGTGACGGACGTGTGGCTTCGACACAACTTCACCGACACGGAGCAGGGGGCGGCTTCCATTTCATTGAATGCTGGCACGGATCTAGAGTGTGGTTCGTCGTATCTTCGTCTTAACGGCTCCTTGGCCGACAAGCAGGTCACCGAGGAGCGTGTCGGCGAGGCCCTGACGCGCTTGTACAAGGCACTATTTACCGTCGGGTACTTCGATGGCAGTGCTCATAGCTCGATAGGCTGGTCTGACGTATCTACGAACGATGCGCAGCAACTTGCCTACCAGGCTGCCCGCGCAGGAATGACCCTCCTCAAAAACAACGGTGTTCTTCCGCTCAGCAACGGCAAGTTCAAGTCCGTTGCTCTTGTCGGGCCATTCGCCAACGCCACTTCGCAGATGCAAGGAGGTTACCCTGGAACCGCACCTTATCTTCGAAGCCCTCTTTGGGCATTCACGGAACAAAACGACTTGGAAGTCAACTATGCTATGGGTACCGAAATCAACAGCACTAGCGACAGCGGCTTCGCAGACGCACTGGCAGCTGCCAAGAAGTCCGATGTTGTCTTATATTGCGGTGGAATCGACCTATCCATCGAGTCTGAGGCAAATGACCGTGTGGCCATCACCTGGCCCGGAAACCAACTCGATCTCATCAGCCAACTATCAAAGTTGGACAAGCCTCTTGTCGTTGCCCAATTTGGCGGCGGACAGGTTGACGACACGGCCCTGGTGGAGAACGAGAACGTGAATGCCTTGTTCTGGGCGGGATTGCCAAGCCAGTCCGGAGGCCTGGCTTTGCACGATCTTGTCGTCGGCAAGGAATCCTTTGCTGGCAGATTACCATCCACACAGTACCCTGCCAGCTATGCTCAGGATGTCAGCATCTTCAACATCAACCTTCAACCAAACGGGACATTCCCAGGAAGGACCTACAAGTGGTACACTGGCAAGCCCGTCTTTCCTTTCGGATACGGCCTGCACTACACAAAATTCAAGTTTGCCTGGAAGTCAACATTAGAGCCCAGTTATGAGATTTACAGCATCGTATCCTCTACAAAACCCGGCGCCAGCGGGAATGTGACCGATATCACGCCGTTTAAAACCATCACTGCAACCGTTGACAACGTGGGCGATTTCAATTCTGACTACGCCGGTCTTCTTTTCCTCTCCAGCAAGAACGCCGGTCCCGAGCCGCGGCCAAATAAGTCCCTGGTTTCATACTCCCGGCTGCACAATATCACGGCCGGTGGCAGCGCCGAGCTCTCGCTGCGCTTAACCCTCGGCTCGCTTGCTAGGTCTGACACCAAGGGAGATTTGACAATCTTCCCTGGCGACTACACGTTGGAACTGGACAATGACAAGTCTTTGACTTTCAACTTCACGTTGACTGGCGACCCTGTTGTAATCGACTCTCTACCTGCTCCAAAAGCGAGCTATGAGTTCGCTGTGCCGGTTCACATCCAGCCCCCATCTGACAGGGCAATGGGTCCGGCCTAAAGAAGACGTTGCCAGAGATAGCTCTTCGACTGCTGAAAAGCGTCAGTATATGTATTGGAGGTCATGCCCAGATTAGAGCCGAAACCTGGTTTTGCTGACATCTCTTACCCTTGTTAAAGAAAGAACCAGTTTAAAATTACCGACCAAGACCGTCAATTTGGTTTCTGATGTGGTCTGATAATTGCTCAACCCTAAACTCGACAGGTGCATGAAATATATGGCATTTGAGTTAAGACTTTGTGATGGCTGCACAGCAGTCAAAGAATTAAGAGAAACAAGCATTAGAGGCTATTCAAGATGGAAACTTGCTAAGAGTATCCTCGTCAGAGTTTGCACGTACTGTAAATCAACAGGGATGTTAAGAGATCGACTTCTTCCTTGGAATCTAGATTTGGCTGGGTTTGATATGAGTTGACCTCTTAGCATGTCTTGATAGCAGGCATGTCCATGTCCAGAAAAACGTCGATTACCCAGCCGAAGTTAACAGTTACAGTGAGGTACTCAGCCAGCGCAGGCAACCGACATAACCCATTAAGCACAACTTGTTATCGAATTGCAAGCAGTGTGAAATGTATGGACCGTTATATGTGTAACTAGTTTCACCCCCGATTATTGCCATTATTCCATCCTTATCCAGCAGATGCCTCCATCGTCTTACGTGGGTTGATTTGGGTGACGACTCCAGCCACCAGCAATACAGGCTGCATTTTGACATTCATCTCTTGGAATGTGGCAATTTATCGACTCTGCGTCCTGAATTCGGCCCTGAACCAAATAGAGTCGACGAAGATTATCAGCAGCAATACGCGATTGCTTATGGGTAGGTCCCAGCCTCCTCTTAAAGCCTTCCAATGCTGTCATAAACATTACCTCAGCACCCAGTAAGTCGTCTTGGGCCCAACAAATGTTACCGAGATTGCCAACTGTACTAAGAGTTGAGTAGTGATCTTTCCCCATAGTCTCTTCCCAGCCCTTCAACGCCCGCTTAAACATCACCTCAGCTTCCTGTAGCCGGCCCTGGTCCCGATAGAACTGACCAAGATTGCTGACTACCAGAAGCGTTCCATTATCGTCTGGTCCCAGCGCCTTTTCCATGGTTTCTAGCGCTCGTTCGTATAGTGCCTCAGCATCTTCTGGTCGATCTTGATCCGCGTAGACAATGGCGAGACGTTCAACCGTTGAGGTATAGTCTGATCCCAGTGCCTCCTTGAAGCCTTCCAGTGCCCGTGTCAACATCGCCTCAGCTTCCTGTAGCCGGCCCTGGTCCCGATAGAACTGACCAAGATTGCTGACTACCAGAAGCGTTCCATTATCGTCTGGTCCCAGCGCCTTTTCCATGGTTTCTAGCGCTCGTTCGTATAGTGCCTCAGCATCTTCTGGTCGATCTTGATCCGCGTAGACAATGGCGAGACGTTTAACCGTTGAGGTATAGTCTGATCCCAGTGCCTCCTCGAAGCCTTCGAGCGTCCGCGCCAACATCACCTCAGCATCACACAGTCGACCCTGTTCCATATAGAGACCACCGAGACAACCGAGCGTGTGAAGCGTTGACTTATGGTCTGGTCCTAGCTCCTTCTCTCTGCCTTCAAAGGCCCATTGGTACATCCTTTCGGCATCCTCAAGTCGACCCTCTCTCGCATAGAGAATGCCACATTGATGGGCGGTGTGAAGCGTTGATAGGTCGTTGCGTCCAAACTCGTTCTCTTGGCCTTCTAGCACCCAGCTGAGTAAAACATCAGCCTCATGAAGTCGGCCCTCGTCTCGATACAAGATACCTAGATTTGCGACTGTATTGAATGTTTGCCCAAGGTTTCGGTGTTGAGACTTCTCCATAAGGTCTAGTGCTCGATTGTATGTCGCTTCAGCGTCCTGGGCATGCCCCTTGTGAGCATATATCCCGGCAAGCTGGGAAATAGCTGCCAGGGTCAACTCGTGGGTCAATCCCAATGTCTGCTCAAAGCCTTCTAGCGCCCTCGTACACATTTTCTCGGCGTCTTCATGTCGATTCTGTCTCCGGTATATGATACCTAGGTTGTGCATCGTACTAAGCAGTCCACTGTTGTCTGGCTGCGGTACCTTTTCGAAGTTTTCTAGCGCCCGCTTGAACATTGCCTCTGCGCTCGACAGTCGCTCATGATAAATGTAAAAACTGCCTAAAGGAAAATAGATCTCTCCATAATCATCAGAAGATTCTGTGACTCCAAGTACGCCTACGCATCTATCTGCGTGCTGAAGAAGTCGCCGTTGTGCCCACCAAGAGTCGTGCATGTGTTTAGATGACGCACGCGAGCTGACACACTTTATTGCCGTCCAAGCCAACTCATCTTCTGTTTCCTTGTTGAGACCATGTATCATCCAGGAGTGAACACATCCATGGACGCTATATCCTTGTGACTCAACTCCATGTTCCTCCGTCGGCAGATTTGCTTCCACGAGCCCATGATCGCACAAAACTCTCATGGCTTTATCAAACGTCAGTCTGTCTCGTGTGACATCTTGCAGCCACATCGGTCGCGTTATTCCGCCGTCTCGCAGTAGCTCGTACCACAAGTCTTCGTTGTTGAAATACGCCCACAGTTGAAGAAGCTTCGCTGAGGCACAGTTTTGTTGCCTAATATGTTCAAATGAGATTTCCCACGTTGAGAATAAAGATTTGTCATAGTCCAATAGCTGAGGACTTTCTTGCTGTAGACGTAACCACGATTCATCGTACAAGCTAAGATATTCTGTGCACGTCGTTGATACTTGATCCAGGTAAGCTCCAGCTGTCGCAAGGGCAAGAGGAAGTCCATCTAGTCGTTGCGCAAGTGCATGAGCCGCAGGATCTAAAATTTGATCATGCTTTAGTAACTTGCATTACCGTTGGTCGTGGTGACTTACCCTCATTAAGACCAACCCGATTAGATGTTGTTGTCAAAATTGCTAAGCTGTCCACAGTGTCTTCAAGCTTGCTAAGCCGAATACACTCTCCAAGCTTGATACTTGACGAACGTGTGGTTACGATGATTGCGCCGTGATATGTCTCCGGGAAGTAAATGCGAATATCGTAAGGCTTAGAACCTGTGTTCCCAAGCTGGTCTGGTTCCTCTAAAACCAGCTCATTTTGCTCCCTGGACGCCGAAGTAGTTTCTTTGCATTTGGCGTTGGTGGTCAGGTTGATGTCATCATAGTTGTCGTAGACAAGAAGCCAGCCATCGTTTTTTGGTTCATCCAGCCACCGCTTGACTGCTGCCACGATCTCCTCCAAGTTGCGACTTTCTGTAGCCTTTTGTAGGTACACCACCAAAGGGTGCTCTCGTAGGATCCTTGTAGCTACTCGAGCAAAGCTCTGCTGCAGCGTATTTTCATCTTTTGCGTTTAACCAAATGATGGCTGAGTAGTTATTGCGGTGCCGCTTAGCGTACGCTATGGTGAGTTGAGTCTTGCCCATACCCCCCAGCCCATGCAGGATGACAGTTCGACGCTCACCGGCCCCTTTCAAAACCGCATGCACCTGGCCAAGCTCTTTTTCTCTTGCCACAAAATGGTTAACCCCGGTTACTTCTGACAAATTGAGAGCAAGGGCAAACATGGAATCGGCTGGAGAAGCTTTTCTGCTGTTATTTTTGAGCAAAAGTATCAGTTATACAAGTTACCACTTCTCTAGTTCGGTTATAGAAGACTTACGCCTGTACTTCGGCGACAGGCATATGAAAGAAGAGTTGTCGGGCGTACGCAGCTGCCGTGGCTGCCGCATATCCGTGCCACTGATCGTTTTTATGCGAGTCGCAATAGTCGGAAATGCCACGAATGACGATGCAGGGGAAATCAGCGAGTGCTCCCGCAGCTTCCGTCTCAAAGCATAACACTGCATTTTGATGCGCAAGACGGTCCCTTAAACAGCCATCTTTAATCACCAACTCCCCAGAAGCTATTGTGCCCCGATGTACAACGATGGATGATTGGCTACTCCCACACAGAGGCCGCTTGAGTCGCTTAATACGTTGGGTAGGATCACAACCGCATTCTTCGCAAGACTGCCCTGGTTGCAGGTGGGTGTACATTGGCGTGTACAGATGATCTTGTTCTATACCAGGATATTTGAACCGTCGAAATATTTGGCGTCTGGTGTTGATTCGCTTGACGTTTTCTTTGATAGGGTCCTTGGCAGCTCGCGATCTCTCTACTGCTAAGTCTTGAGCGGCATTCAAGAGGAGCGCGGGTGGCGGTGCTAGGGCACCTGTGCGTTCGAATTGACCGTTTGTCGCTTTGCCGTGATCATATTGCACTACGCCAGAGTGTATACCGTTCGGTTTGCTAACGATCACATGCCCTAATCGGATCACTTCGTTGTCTGTCCTCACCGGGACCCCGCCACCAATGCCAACCAGTAGGCCAAATTGTAGGTTAGGAAATGTCATTCTCATCTGTGTGACGACTGTGGCTGCAGGGCTGTTTCCTGTCTGATACAGTCCTGTAATCACGACATTGTGGCCATTGATGCTCCCAATACGGTAGACGTTGTGATCAGCCGGAGATTTTGACAGACGTTCGTGCTCCTCATCTAGCATCTCTACTGCAGCAATCTGCTCAACCTCCAGTGGGCATATCCATCCTACAGTGTAATCGCCGTGGCTCAGTCTCTTCGGCATGGTCGGTATACTAGGGGTCCGTATCGGCTTCTTCGCTCGCGTCGCTTCAAATAAAGCGGCTTCGTTCGTCGCCGCTTCGACGGCAAGCTGCTAAGTTGCTTTTACGCGCGCGAAATACCTGCAGTATAAACGTCTCTGAAGTTTATAGATGTGTAAGGCAATACTGCTGGCGCATTCGGGCACGAATTGTCGGTTGGGGTGAGAGCCGACGTCTGACAAGCCGGTTGTCGGTTTCAAGGCGATATCAGATCGAGACTGCCGAAGAAGGTCTAGCCGCTAGCCTTACGTAGTTAAGCGGCGCAGTGCGATACCACTTGTCATCGTTCGAGATTAATCAAGACTGCAAGAAGTGATGGGAGAACAGAACACAGCTGATGTCAAGCAAAAGAATATATGCCCCAGCCTGCTGGCCAAAGTGGGTACAGAAGCCTAGAGTGTCGGGCGCATAACTTAGACAGATCCAGCCACTCATATGGATTACTTCAATGTTAGGTGCATCTGACACTCACAGCAGGCTATGCCAGAGGTCAGAATGGCAGTAAGTAGACAACAAGAATAATCCAATGACTTGACCACATCTATATCGGCATCTCGGCATCTCTTCTTATGGTGTAAACGGTGTGGCTAAAGGTGTCTTCGTGTGGGTACCCGACGGTAAGTCGAATTCTATAGTTTCTCAACACACGATGTGAGGTATGAACTAGGCAGCAATAGCTGGTGTTAAAACCCAAGAGCTAGAGGTAGATATCCTCAGTTTAGGTACCAATGTTACCCAAAAGATCACACGCTCTGGGGGTGAGTCATAATCAGGACGATGTATTCCCCTAGACTCTTTTCGTCTTTTTCTCCTTCTTCAGATACCACTTACCCACCTTTACGGACAGGCTAGCTGCTTGGCATCCGCTGACCCGAATTGCTGACATTATTTGTATCGGATTCGTCAGCCGATTGGAGGTTCGCACGCACATAATCGCCAAGCACCTCAATCTTTCCAGGTGCGTCGCTGAGTAGGCATCCATATGCAGGTATGCTTGTTCTTCAAGGCCCTCAGATGTGAGTTCTGCCAACACATCAAGTGACGGCAACGCCTGTTTGGTTCAGGTAAAATGAGGCGAGGTGTATGAATCTGCCTTATGGCTATGCTCCAGCCTGGCTAGGGGCCACATCAGAGCTACCAATGGGGGAAAAATATGTGTGCACGAGGGGACTTTGAGGCCCCATGTAGATAAGGAGAGAAGGCTGCACAGAATTTGAAAGCACAAAAGCCTTTATACAGCCCAAGCCCATTGATCGTGGCCAAAAAGCCTATTTTTTTCTTCGAAGTCAGGCCTTTCGAACTCTGTTAACTGCAACCCTTTCTGCAAACCCGCTGTCGAGACCACGCAACTCAGCAGGGATAAGAATGATCGACACAAGGGGAAACACGAAGCCCGCGTGCCTTGAATCCGGTCTTCCCCCCGGACTTGAGAATCAAAGCGCCAAGGCCACAACAGATGAAGCTAATCGCTCTCAAGAGCCACCATCTGGCGAAAGCGAAGACCACGCTGTAAGTTTATTTTGCTTTCTGTTACTATCTTTTCTCGCTTGGACTGATATTGTGACACGATGCTAACAAAAGGACCGAAGATGCCCAGAATTGAAACCCCCCCCTGGTTTCTCGAGCATTGTGTGACAGGATGTGATGAATGGGCTAGAATCCCAGACCCCTTGATCCTACGGGAGACTACGCTCACAGACAATGAGGCGCCAAAAGAGGATAGTCGCACCTCTGTACTACAGCCAGACACACAGCGTTATGAAATGGCCCCGGCCTTGTTTGACCCACTTCGTGGGCTTATACGATCTGATATAACTGTTTCACCAACCACCAATGCCCAAATTGGATCAGACAACAATTTCAGAAGCCGATTTACTAAGGACATCATACAATTGTATGCTTGTATGCACACGGAGTACGAGGCTCGGCTGAGATTT